GCTGTCCCTCACTGACAAGCCACAGCCCCACCCCCCAGCCCTGCCAGTGCACCTCACTGCCAAAAGGCAGTATCCTGCCCCACCCTCCCTGCTGATGCCCCTCACTCCCAACCCGCAACCCCCCTGGCACTACCAGTGCCCTGCACATCCAACCCACAGCCACCTGCCCCGTCCCCACTCTCCTGTGCCCCTCAGTCTTGATCTGCAGTCCCCTGCCCCCCTTCCCAAGCCCTGTCAGTGCCCCTCACTCCTGACCCTCTGTGCTCCCTGCTGCCTCGGATCTCGCTCCCCCTGCTCCCACCAGTGGAGCAAAGCAAAATCACAAAATGAGCTCCCAGTCGCGCAGGTGTGGTGCTGGGTATTCTGGGAACTGTAGTTCTACCTAGCAGCAATCATGTTGAAAACGGACTGGGGGAGGAAATCCAGGACATTTTGCTTACATTTAAAAAACCCGCCCGGATGCAGCACATGGGGCCATAAAAGAGGACATGTCCAGGAAAACCCAGACATATGGTAACCCTAGCTAATTTAGCCTAGAGATGTATTCTTTTCTACTCTGCCTTGCCTCCCTCAAAATCAACATATGGCGCCAAAGGAACCAGGATGCAGACTTATTTACCCATTGTTTAACATGTTTCCTTTAGCATATTCAAAGTAAATTCAAACATGATTATTTTGGCAAGAGAAACTGCATTGTTCTTTTAAACAAATAGCCATCAACCAAAATAATCATTCCTAGTCATTACTTAGCTTCGCCACGGGCATTGCAGCATTCATCCTCTATCCACAATGGCAGCACATGCAGCCTCCATGAAAGCCAACCTCTTTGTTGATTAGTCAGCAAGCAGGAGTACTTCCTGGATTAGTGCAACTATAGCATAAAAGTGATGTTGTAGCTGTAGTGGTCCAGAAATTATATAACAGGCAAGTATTTCCTAGGGTGATACCTTTTATTGGACCAACTCTGTAGTTGGGATAAAGTTAGACAGCTTTCAAATACAAGACCTTCACAGTTGGTTCAAAAAAGATATCATCCTAAGAAATCCTTGCCTCTTGCATGAGTGTAACTAGGCATTCTAGCTAAGGAACTTCATGAAAAGCAAGATATCCTATATACGTACACATGCACATGCACTCATGCACCCACCATAAATAATAATCTCTGCTTTCAGTGCTCACACTTTGGTAAGTGTGTGAATAATTTTTAAAAATACCGAAAGAAAAACAACCTATTACACCTGAGCTCAATTTTTCCTGAGAGTCTTTGAAAGAAAGGAGGGAACAAGACATCTGAAATCTGAAGAATATCTAATGGTTTTATGTAATTGGGGAAGCATATAATTATCTTCATAAACAGAAACAATCTGTACCATTTGTGGTGCAGTATTTAAAGTATACATTAGTGCAATTATAGGTCTGTATAATTAATTCAAATCCAATTCATTCTTTAAATTGCTTATTGGTGCATTTCAAATGTAATACATTATATTTTATGAATAAAACCTTACAGGATTTCCCAAAGGTACAGAGACAGTGAAGAAGTAATGAACCAAGGGATTGTGATGCACAGCTGGTACAAACTGAAAGAGGTAGAGTCAGCACTCTTTCAGCATGTAAATAGTCTTTGATTAGCCAGTAATTAGGTTGAAATAGCACTAAGTGCTTGTACAAATGTGCTAGAAGATCAAAGATCAAAAGCATCAATTGTCTTCAGGAACCTTGGTGACTGCGTCAAGTATGTCAAACTTGTCTAGCCTTCTTCATTAGGGATAATGTCTGTGTCAGACTAATTTCACTGTTTGCATTGGAAGGATGTTGTCACTCTGCTGTCAGGCAGGACCTGCCTAGTTATCATGTTAATTAAGCTTTCCTTGTTACAGTGTTCATTGGTCTTGTTAACACAAAGAAGCTGCTAATGAGCATATCTAAAACTCCATTTGTACACTGCAACTGTTCTAAAATGATTTTGAAGAAAATGATCTCTAATTTTAGCTTCCTTCCAGTTACACATTCTCAGTGACAGTAAGGCACTCTCCTATTATTTTGTGCCTCGCATCAGTTGGGATAATTTCTTGTATTTGTCCTCATTATCCCAGTAGACCACTGCTCCTGATTACACTGCTGAGCAAAGTTCAGAATATCAACTCACTCTGCTGGCCCTTTCTTTCCCCTGGGTAGGAGTGGTCCCCACACAGAGCAGAAAAAAGTGGCACTGTGGAAGACTGTTTACTTTGTGGAAAGAAATGAGAAAGAGCTACTGCCTCCTGCGTAAGAAAGTCACATGAATCCCAGAATCCCACTCCATGCAAGGAGGACAGAAAAAAAGAAGATGAACACTATCGCCTCTTACAAAAACTAAATTAAGGGCAGACAAAGGCATTATATTTCACCTCCTCTCTGCCTACCAATTGCCTTTTAAGAAGAAATGAAGTTGCATCACCAAAGATGCAATCAGAAAGACAAAGTAAAATAGATATGCCCACATTTTTAAAACCCAATGCTGGAATAAATTACTATCATTTGGACAAGAATGAGTAACAAATGGGACAATCAACTAACCACAAACATAGTGCTTTAAGCGTGAATCCAAATCTTTTTTCTTTTTTTTAAAAGAACGATAGTCAAAGCACAAATAGCCTGGGTACAGACGTGGTTAACCATTACCAAGGGGCACATGAATAAATGCAATGGAGTATCCAATGTCAAAGTTTAAAGGTAGCTGCTGTTACTATGTGAAATAGTGAGCAACACTGATTTCTTCTAACTCTCTCTACAGGGCTTGCTAAAGTTGAACAAGCTTATGGAGCTAGTGAGCACTAAATTGTTAGGTTGACTCAGTTTGCACGCACCTTTTGCATCGCTCCTTGAATAGCCTGTTCCATGTTCTTGCATGATTCAGACATTAATTTTGTTTCTTGAAGATCTGTGCTTCCATGGGTTCTTAGATATGTTCTGAAACAGTGTATGTATTCCTCTGATATTCTGTTAGGGTCCATCTGAAATAAATTTAAAAGCATCCAGAGTCTAAGAGTTGTCCAAACAACAAGGTCAATATAAGCAATAACCCAAAATTACACTTCTATCCCAGAAAATGCAATTTCATTCTACTCCTACCACTCTAAAATAGATTTTCAATATATAGTTGTTTTACCCATGTTAAACCAATGAATGTTAAGGTAACACACAAAAGACAATTTGGGGATTCTGTCTATAATATGTGAATTCCATTCATGTTTATTAGCAACTTGTGCCTCCTGGGTTTGAGGGGGGGCACCCAGGGTCTCCCCATGGCCGATCGCCCTTGGCAGTGGACCCGGAAGTGGACTGGAAGTGCTTCTGGTCCACTTCCAGGTTTGCTGCTGAGCACTCTGGGGAGCCTTCCATACTCCTGTGGGATGCTCCATCCACCACACCATCTCAGCATTCACAACCCATCTGATACCTTCAGGAATGTAGAAAAAACATTTAAAGCTGTGTCTATGTCCGAATCGTCAAATCCTTCTGAATCTCTCCGAATCGATTCAGAGAGATTAAAGAGTCTCCTGATTCGATTCAGATTTGGAGATTCGGCTGCCAAATCTCTGCTGAATCGAATCAGCGACCAAAGCTTTGCACAGCCCTAATAAATGCCACTAGAGGTGACAGTACATCTAGCATAGTGTTAATATAGCATGCTGTTAAACTTTAATAATCACTCATTTCAATGGAACACTTGAATAAAGAGATGACTACAACCAGGATGAACCAGTTTCCATGAGCCATTTCAAAATGGGGGTGGAGAAGGACAACAACTTCTGGATCACCTGGCATGACTGTGCCAACAGTAATCAGACTGAGCAGGGATTGGTGGTCTATGGCCCATGGGCTGGATCCAGCCCATGAACAGACTGGATCCAACCTCTGGCAGCATGCTCCAGCCACAGTAACAAAAGACACAAGTCCCAGGGTCCTAGCACCTGCCTTTTTCTATCTATTTCCCCCACAGCATTGGCTGATCTCTAGCAGGTGTGAGGCCACAGCCCATGGCAGGGGCTAGGATGTAAGTAGTGGCCCACAGTGGCAAAAATGTTGCCAACTCAAGAGATAAAGGAACTTTTTAGAGTGGGGGAAAGGAGGAAATGATATCTGGAGCAAAAGTTTTGAAATGGCTCATGGATTCTCAAGATCTGGGGGAAAGGGAGCTTGGCTCTAGGGTATCCCTAAAAACATAGCAGAGTGGTGAGGAAATTATGCTAGCTAAAGTAAAGAGTAGTTGTTTTTGGAAATTTTATAAAGACTGTTCCCTTCAACAGGCATGTGTGCCTGAAGAGGTAAACTATAAACATAGCAACCCCACAAGATTGGCATTTTGGGACAGGGTGGCCTTAAGCTATGGTTCAGCATTTGCTCCAATAACAGACTATAACAGGCCTTAAGATGCTTAATTTTGAAATGGTATAGCATTTGCTTGAATTTACTTGAACAAAGTTTGGGTACAAGAGGACAAAAAGGAAATGATCAGCCCAGAAAACATCACAAAGTGTGAGTCATTTTAAAAAATTCAAGAGGGCTGGAAGGGTAAAAAACTTTTTTTTAGAAGTCACTGTGGTTAGACAAGGCTAATTTTAGACAAGATATAGCTTATATAGGGGATAATAGGCACATTAATATTAATTGAAGTAAAAACCAATCAGGAATACTTTTATGTTTTGTGGGGGTTGGGGTTTTTTTTTTTTTTTACTTTATTCAGTAAGCTTTTTGATATTTTAACCAAGCCATAAATTATAAAAAACTGGGTTCATCTTGGAATTTTAGTTCTTCAGCCTTGAACTACAGTTCTTTCTGAAGAGCCCATCTGCAGATGAACTAAAATAAGCTATTTTATAACTTAATTTAAAACTCAGATGAAAAGCCCTTTTCTTTAATAGGCTAGCCAGCTGTTAAAGTAGGGGTGGGAGGAATACAGCATGCAGGCCGGATCCAGTCCACCAGCTGATCAGATATGGCCTGCAGGCAGGCACCCATCAATTGACTGGATTTGGATCGAGTCCACAGCTGCTCCTGTGCAGCTCCACACGGGGCCGAGCCCTGCCCAAGACAGCCCATGCCGCGCTCCCAACCACATTCGCCCAAAATGCTAGGCAGCACTGCCTTAGCCCTCGCCAACGCACACAGCTTCCTAGTGAGGCTACTGTGCAGCTGCCCAGGTACTGCTCAGCTTTCCCCACTTCCAGCAGCTCCTCATCCTCCTCTTCCTGCCCCTGCTGCATTGCTTAATGCAGGGAGGGGAGGGAGAAGCCAAACAGTACCCAATCAGCTGCAGAAGTAGCCCCACCAGGAAGCTGTGCACATTGCCCAGGGTCAGGGCCAGGGCAATGCTGCCTGATAGGCGCAGGCAGAAGTACAGCATGGACTGCCCCAGGTGGGAATGGGTGGGGCTCACGCCCATGCGAAATGCCACAGGGGCAGCTGCTGGCCAGATGCAGGGGTGTGAGGCAGACTGCACATGCACTAACTACACCACCTAGGTGAGCTCTGCTGCACATCCCCCCAGCCCCTTCCTCTCTCCCTCCCCCCACCCCCAGCCAGCTCCCAGGACCTAGCATGGGGGCAACACCCAATCCCCACACACACCCCATCCACACCCTTCATCAACAATACACAAGAGTAATATCATTTTGAGCTATAATGCAATTGCCTGTATGTACACTACCGGAAAAAACTTAATCAGGACAAAAATTATTTTCTGAAATACAATTAAAATATATTATAGTAAATGGTTGATTTTTAGTATACAACTTGTTGCTTTCTATAATTTGTTAAAATGATAGGTTCTGAAAGATTTTTTTTGCGTGGCCCTTGACAGCTCACTAAAACTCATTAAGTGGCCCTCCAGCCAAAATAATTGCCCACCCCTGTGTTAGAGGCTTTTTAAGACTTTAGGACTTAAGATAAATTAATTTTAAATTCTCTCATGTTAACAAGATTGTTTTGTTAGATGAATGTGCATTTTATAAATGTTTAATCAGTTTCTTGCTATGCCTCATCTGTACTGTTTAGTCATTAACATCTAAATGACTAATAGATTTTTTTGTTAAAATGTACCTATCTTTATGAGTCTGACTGGCTGTTTGAAACTTTCTTGGTTCTCAGAACATATCTAGGAGTCATTACAAAGACCTAGGACAGCCAAGTGATACGGTCCAATTTCTAAGAAAAGGCTTGCACCCAGAAATGTAATAGACGCCGAAGAAAGAGGTAGTGCTGCAGTTTACTAACAATAATGAAAGCATAAAAAGCATGTGATCTGAGTGTGATCAAATCCAAACATAGCAGTTGGGTGAAAATTCAGCTAAGAGAACTTCACCAGGGCTATGACAATATATGTTAGAAAAGTATTACATCCTTTACCTTTGTACAGACTTCTAGTATAAGGGGGGGCATATAAAATATGCATTTAACATGCACAGTCCCTTGTTGGTAAACTTAAGTTGTTTTAACTTATTCATCCATTTTTTTCCCAGATGTCCTAGGAAAATGTTAAGATGTAAAATAATGGGAAAGAGCAATCTCAGGAAATCATGGTGGGGAATATATTATTGTACTTCATGTGCGTCCATCTTTTATTTAATAAGACTCTCCTGCACACAAGTACAAACACTCTCCCCAAAAGAATACCAAGCCTGAAAAATAATGTGAAATTTACAAGCAATAGATGTGTGCACAAGGACTGAGTGAAAGGTACACACATCATCATGAAAAGTCAATTTGAAACTTGTTCACTTAGAGAATGCTACTGAACCAAGTACAGAAAATAGTATAAAATAAATGAAATTATCAAGATTGGAAGATATCAGTATGTGGATCAATATTTGAGTTAGAAAGCTTGAAAAAATAAGAGTTTTTGTAAGGAACAAGTCTTTTTCTAATTGTGATTGGTGTGCGACAAGGGAAAACCCTGCATTCAACTCCACACAAAATATTCAAGGAGTTACTAATTGAAGTAGTACAGAAAAGCACAATAAAAAAAGATCAGTACATCAAGACTAAGTACAGACAGTCCAAGGCTGAATCGATTCAATCTTTGCAGGTGAGTCTAAGCTGTGTAGATTGAACTAATAAGCAAGTGAAGAGACATTCACTTTTGATTCTGGAAATGCAGCCACTTGCCTGCAGTAGCCCAGGCCAGAAGCCAGAGGGTGCTAAAGCATGCCTCCCTACTCAGTTGGGCCAAGGGTAGCCTGGGTAGACAGCTTGGGCCAAGGGTAGCCTGCCCATCCTGTGATTTGTGAGAGGGAGGCTTGCAGGGGAGGTGCAAATCACCCTGGAATGCTGGGGGACTGTAAGTTAACTTGACTGTGTAGGGGGATCTGGGACAAAGGTTTAGTAAACCGATTTGACCTAAATCAGTTAAGTCTGATATTACACCCATCCAGGTTTATCTTAAACCTGTTTTGACTGTTTTGAAAGCGGTTTCTGTGCACTGAACTTCTGTTGTGTTACAGATTTGAACCAGTTTCTGATCACTTATACCAGTTTATGTGTAATTTCTGTCCCTAGCCCAAAGGGGCTGAATTTATATGGAAACCTTAAGAATAGTTAAATGTGCCTGTATAGCTTAGTTTTGTAATAAATCTGTGTATGGAGAAAAGGTGATTGTCTAGAAATATTTGCAGGGTGCAAAAATCAAGGGGGAAGAATAATGATTTAAAGCAGTGTATCTTTATTTAAAGCAGTCAAGATAAAGAATAGGAAAACTATCTTGTGGACAAGACAGAACAGTCTAAAACAGTCACCTGAGAAAACAGACAGAGGCCCAGCACTTCAGACCTGCAAACTGAGCAGGATGGAACATGTCACTAAAATGTGCCCATAGAGACTTCTACACTAACAGAGAAGGATTGGAAGATCTAAAAATATATATTTTCAGTCTAATATCTGTGACTGAATTAAGTAAAATATTACCACTTTAAACCAGGGGTTTAGAAACTATTTCCATCCAAGTTGACATAATTCT